ATTGGACCCCTCCTATTTACACTATACATCAATGACATATGCGCTTGCTTCACGCACGGGAAACCATTCATCTTTGCAGATGACCTAAAAGTAGCTTATACATTCCAATGTGATGACTTAGGGAACTTCGAGAATGTAGTGCAGAAGGAATTAGATAAAATGACTGCTTGGTCGTCCCTATGGAATCTCCAATTTAATCTGAACAAATGTGGCTGGATCTGCTTCGGCACCCTCAATTGACCTGAAATTAACGCTTCAATCTGCTAACCTAACCAGACTCCGAAGTGTCGTTGACCTAGGCCTGAGGTACTCTAGTGACTTGACATTCTCTGAGCAAGTAGCATCACAGACTAGAAAATCGAGGATGCTCTTAGGATGCATACTCAGGAACTTTCACGACAATGAAGCCAAGCTAATTCTGTACAAAACATGTGTCAGACCACTACTAGAATACTGTCCATTTATTATAAGCAGCACTCGCACACGTGACAAGCTAAGGATGGAAAGTATCCAACGATATTTTACCTCAAAACTACTTGGCTATGATTGTAAGAAAGACTACATCTCACGGTGCATGATCCTAAAACTTGACCCACTTTGGACAAGGCGACTTATTATAAACCTAATATTCTTCTTTAAGGTCCTTCACAAAATATCATTCTCAGGTAACAGGGACATACAATTCGCACAGGAAGGTTCTTACGATCTGCGTAACCAAACTTCCACAGTGACAACTCATTCTTTTAAGTCAACACTCCGTGAAAACTTCTTCACAGTCATGTATTCTAAAATATGGAATAGCCTGCCCCTAGATGTCAGAACTTGCTCTTCGGTTACAAGCTTCAAACGCTCTCTATACAGACTGTTTCACTCTACTGATTATATTAATAAACTATTTACTCCTAGAACGAATCAACTACTAATCTACTACAGCACGCACTTCAACACCCTTAGCAATCTAAAAACTATAAATAAACTAGCAGCATGGATGCATAAAGACTTAGTACGGAACATACAGGATTAGTTTACCCTTAGAAATAGGACCTGTCACTTTACTGTAACCTTCAAACGCTTGCTATATAAACTGTTTTATCCCAAAGACTATCCCTACCAGAACCCATTACTTATTTCTAAAACGCATCAGTCATTAGAACACTAAAACGCTCAGACTCATTAATACACATTATGACACTAAATAAACTCTAAGACTTCGCATAAATACGTGAAAAGACAACTATAAAGAAGGTAAATTTTTACTAATGTATAATATACAATTGACATAAACATTTATAAGTGCATAAAATATTAATGTCCTTTTCATGTTCACATACTTTCTCTTTCTGGTAATCTGCTGCTCCTATTCATCTTCTGGTCGAGGTCGAAAAACCCTGCATCTAAACTGAAATGAGGATTAATTCCAAACCATCTATCTCATAACCACTCAAATTCCATGAACGATCCAATTCTACCATTTGAAGACGCTGGCGAACATGCTGTAAAAGAGTATTCATGATCTGAAATGAAGAAGCAACTGGTTTTCAAACAGTTTTCAACATTTTTCTGAACTTACGAATACAGTCCGCCATGCAGACACAAATGGAGAATTCTGGAATCGACCTCGGCACCATTTGATGCAGTAAAACAACCCAACATGACCTTATCTAGTTTTCGCCTCCACGATCAAATTTCTTTCCTGTTATAAAACTACGATAAGACTACTGAAAAAATGGAATAAATATATCACTGATCTCAACATAATACATCAATAAACTTTAAGCCAAGGGTGCTGTTCACAACAAAGTTATATAAGAGAATTGACTTCAAGCTTTTTTTCCCAGATATCCGTATTACATTCATCTGATGTCTGGGTTTTTTGTTAATGCGAAGACAATATTTCTATATCTCTTTATGTGTTACACAAACAGACTTTATAGCAGACTGTTCCGACTGACTCTCATGTCAGAGAGAACAACCAAACTGTAAATTCATCATACATCAATTTATGTGTAATTTATATAATAACTTATCCATGCCTGTACAATTGGTGTGTTCCTGCATAAACAGGAAGAAATATATTATTATTAAAAAACTACTCAGCATGATCTCAAACTCCTTTACAAATTGTAAATAATCAGCCGGGTTTCCATCAAAACACCGTGGTTCAAATTTAGGGAGTTTGATGTTCCTATTATCCCTGGACGGCGAAACAGTAACATCAACCATGTCATGCTTAACATCAGACACATCGTTACAATTAACAGACAAGTCACCATGACTTACTTTCCTGTTTGCATCCAAGACGCTCTGTCCCTTCTTTGACCCAGGCATTGTCGAACTTGACCCAATTCCAGAACAGTTCCAGATATTGCTTGTTCAAAGAGTACTTAACCGGCACCAGGATAGATGAACGGTGACTATCCAAACTGTCACCAACAGTCTGAATCCGTCAGAAACTGTTTCCACCGTCAGAAACTGACTTAACCGTCAGAAATTGTCAGCCACGTCTCGTAAACCGTTAATGCCCAGCTCTTGCTACGCTCGGGCTCACACTGTTCCTTGAAGTTTCTCAGAAACGCTTAGTAATAACGGACGAAAAAACCAAAACACCAATTGTTGACTCGAGGATTCTTTATTGTTACATCAACATATAAACACTGTTACAACTAAGGTCTGTGAACAAATATTACAATAATAAATCACAACATTACTTCTGACGGTTTACTGTTGACTTCTTTCTGAACAGCGACCGATGAGACGATGACTGTCGTATTGATGCCTCCGCGAAAATATAGGGAGGTTGGCTTTGAGCAAACAACCATGAATTGATCGTTCAATCTTCAACTGCATTGACAACCCTAGTTATTATTCAACAGAAGTCTCTTATTGAGAAATTCGGGGATTCAAGGTAAGAAACCATTGAATGTAATGTGTAACTCATGCTAATCTATCTGTCAGCCACGTCGCGTAAACCGTTAATGCCCAGCTGTTGCTACGCTGGGCCTCACGCTGTTCCTCGAAGCTTCTCAGAAACGCTCAGTAATAATGGACGCAGGGTATAGCAGCAATCATGTACTATTTCTCTGAACATGTTTCAGTATGGAGATGCTTTATGGTGTTTACCTATGGTAAAAGGATAAACCTCTCCCCATCTATGCGTAAATATGTCGACAATACGCTTGTTGTTTGTGACATGTGTCAGGCATCCGTATTATTTGACTGCCTAAGTGAGATCGACTCAAACAGCAAATTCATCATGGAACATGAAAACAACGACGAGTTCAATTTCCTGAACCTTAATGCAAAATGAAGAAAGTATGGAATGGCCGAAAAATTCATCTACAGTAAAGAAACCTGGATAGGACAATATCTTCACTACAACAGCTTCTGCCCCATAAGCTTTAAGCGGGGACTAGTAAGGACACCGTACGACGGGGCCGGGAAGTTGTGTTCGCCTAAGGCGGTAGAGGAGGAATTAAGCCTTGTTGAAAAATGCCTTAGGGATTTATGCTAAACTAAAGATGAGAAAGTAAGGTATTCAACAGGCGATAAGAAGAAAGTGTTCATTTGCCTTCCATGCAAAGGAGAAGTATCACAAAAGATTGACAAGAGGATGAAAGGAGCAATAAAGGGATGGTTTCCTGAAGCTAAGCTGGTGACACTATACAGTACTACATGCTCTAAAAGCCAATCGAAACTGGATAAATACCCTGCTGATGTTACTCCCGACTGCATTTATAAATTTACGTGCACCTGCAACAGCAAGCACGCAAGAAGGGCAGGAAGAAGAGCTTCTATCTGGTTTTCAGAGTATATTCCAAGAAACTTATTCTTAAAAGGAAGCAGATATTCACAAAATGCAATTACCAGACACCTTATGGATATGGGTCATTTTGTCGAGAATCCAAAATCTTTCAAAATATTAAGCATAAATAGGAAAGCGAATCTAATGCGACTTGCTAAAGCGATTGCAATCGAACTTTTCAAACCAAACTTATGCACACAGAGAGATTGTGTGTAGTCAGTCGCACTCCTTAGGTAAGCATATCACTTTCATTACAGTGATTATTCAAACACACTATTTTTTTTTTTTTTGATTACAACTTGATTCCACAGCGTATTTTTGGTACAAGTATGGAATTTTCAGCGTGGATATCGGTAGCCCAAATTTCGCAGGCCGACCATAGATATCAGGTGTGCGTCGGTAGGGGATCGAACCACGGACCATGTGCATGGTCGGCGAGAGTCCTAACCACTGTGAGCTCTGCTCACTGAACAAGTTTTCAATTGGACAAACATTAATTTTCTTGAGTTGCTATGTAGGTGTACGAGCTAACACTATTTGGGAGATTTTCCTTTTTCTGTCTACTCTAGCCCCCTTCTTCATAATTTGAAAGCATGTGAATTGATGGTGACTTCAAATGAAAACTGTAATGCTTATAATGCGGATGCGTTCATCTTATAATGTTTTCTCTATTACCTTTCAAACACTGAAGTATGAAATTTCATTATTTGTAACCATCGTAATTTCAGGTAGTTCGCAAATGATGCGAACCTGTGAAATAGAATGATATCACTCCATAATGCTGAACTGGTCTTTCTTTCTGTATCGAAATGTATCAGGGGAAACGAAATGCATGAGATATTCTGAGGATTTCAAGAGAGTCAATCTGATATCTGGTATATATAAGAGTGAGGCGATTGTTATAGGCTAACTAAGCCCTTCGTGCTCTCAAGCACAAATATCTGAGAAAGTGCACGAAAAGGAAAGGTGAAGCTGTCCTACCAATCCTCTCAGTGGACTTCCTTTTGCCATACTAGAATTCATCAATATAACAGTATAATTTGACAAGGATATTTATCTCCCGTAATCTATTCGGTGCTACAGATTATCTGGCACACAACTCCTTAGTCCTTGGGAAACAGTCTGCAGACTCAGCACACTGTTTCATTCTACTAGAATCATACAGTATGCAGTGTTATTTCGAACAGCCTGACGGTGATGGGAAGCTGTGACATTGAATGATATTAATTCATGTTGATAAGAATATCTCAAATGGTGTGATCAAGACAGAGGTGGATGTTAAAATGCATAAGGCAAAGAAAATGGATTTAACTTCTCTTAACCTTTTTTTTAATTGAAGGTCTCATTGAAGATTGGACATGGCGATGATAATGTGTTTGAATCGATAGGTTCAGTTTGTGGCGTTACTTGTTGCAAGCATGGTAAGGTGTGTGGAGTTTGTTGACTAACATTGTGTAGGCTCCTGTCTCTGTTAAGGATATAGATGGTCATGTGTACATCAAAGCGCTGGCTCAGTTCCTGAAGAAGTGAGTCTGCATGGGATTTCTTATCAGCCCTCGTTTAGAACCGGCAAAGTGAAGCTACCTGATTGGACTGACGTCGTGAAGCTTTCCGCAGCCAACCAGTTGGCCCCGTATGATCCCGACTGGTTTTACGTTCGTTGTGCTGCTGTTCTCCGACACTTGTACATCAGACCCACTGGGCTAACTGGTCTGAGCAAGGCATTTTCGAGGAAGAAGCGCAATGGTGTCAGACCATCCCACCGTTCTTTAGCACATGGTTCAGTCATCAGGAAAGCTATGCAACAGATGGAAGCCCTCGGATTGTGTCAAAAGCGTGAGGGCGGGTAAGTCCACCATTCATAACCTGGGTGTCGTTGTCTCATATAATGGTCTTATTATTGTCCATCACAACTGATGGAGAAGTTTTTCAACTGAACAAATAGCAGTCAATTTGGTGCGAAACCTAGTATTGAGGCTGTAGTAGTCTTGACAGCTTTTCTCGAGCAAGATGGTTGACAAAGGACCATTACGAAAAGTAGTGTGAAGATAGTGCATGATAAGAGTGGGCTTCCGCTTAGTTGAAATTGAATACACGCTAGGCTTATCATGGTAGTGGGACCGGCACCTTGCGATACTGTACTATTCGTCAGGACTTTGCATCACCTGCTTCTTATGGAATTTTACCTAGTTTCATTTTATCCAATGACCAACGTTAGTGACAATGACCGTCTGCTAAATTTTGGATTATACTTTGCGTTAGAAATAGGCTAGTATCTCCTTTGTGATGGTCTTCGCGTGCAGGTTTTGATTATTTCGAGATGAATGTATGTCCGTCAATTAACCGTACGGCTTCAGTAAGTGTAGTCTGGCAATAATTTCCCTGGACATATACCCTACCGAATGACGTCCAGGTGAAGTATCCTCGATATCGATGTGCGTCGGTAGCACAGTGTTTAGGATCCTCGCCTACCATGCGCATGGTCCGGGGTTCAGGCCCACGCCGACGCACACCTGATATCTATGGTCGGCCTGCGAGTTTTGGGCTACGGATATCCACTCAGAAAATTCCATACTTGTGCCAAAAATACGGTGTGGAATCAAGCTGTAAATCAAAAATAAAAATAATGGCCCGTGCAACCATTCAAATGTCAGCTTCTAGTAGAGTACCCTCAGTTCCTTTATGGACTTCACCTCTGTCTGGGAGGATATAGGACTTGGTGACAAGTAATGTGTTGTGAGCACCAAACTGTTTGGATTAACTTAAGTGCGCTGATCATTGTTTGGCGTAGGATTTCCAACGCCGACTTTTTACTTGTATACACAGGCCGACGTATGAGCGGCACCCACACAGGTAGAGTCAGTATGTGGTCTCGCCTTTTCATAACCGGCTATCCCGAGAAGTCATTCCACTTACTAACAGAACCAGCTTGGGCATTTTCGCTTCGTGTATGTATTTTTTGCTGAATGTTTTGTGATTGTGGCTAACTTACGTATACTTTTTGGTTGTTTTACTTTCAGTGGAAGGTCTCTTACATCGGCTGGGAGACGCGACTTGGATAGACTAGCCTACCAAATTTCAAGAGAGCGTCGTTGATGCATTGAATACATAATTTTGGCATGAAAATGACTTTTGAGGTAGTATGGGTTGGGTTAGCAGGTGACAGTGTTTATATTTGTTTACGTGTCAGTGGCTTTGTGTTGATGGTTAATTCACTCATGCGTATATGGTAGGGGGACGGGTTAGTTCAATAAGTATGACAAGTGTGTGTGTAGTGAAAGGTATGTTAGGACGATTGAATTTGTTTACTGAAGGAAGTGACTTTTACCTGTATCATTTTGAGATTTTGTGTGTCGTAGGATTCGATAACGTGTCTGAAAGGCTTGGCTTTTTACTTTTGCAGACATTTTGGTAGTGGTTTGAAGTACGAAATTGTTTAGTATATCGTTGGTGACTGTGTGCGTTTTTTGTTTTTAAAGTGCATCTCTGGGCTAAGGATATAATAATGTATCCGATTTCTCTACTGGTCTTTTGTCCTTGTGTGTATTTCCTATACTAGGTTGTCAAGCTGGCGTTCTTGAAATTTTTTAAGGGGGAATAGATTTTATTAATTATTATAAGGCGCGTGGAATGTGTGTCTTGTATGTACCTAGTAGAATAAAGTAGTAAAAGTGTTACAAAGTAGACAGTGTTTTCTACAACTCGGGACACAAGTTTTGAATGAGGTATTGATTGACTTAGCTAACTTTTTCGAGCAGTAACAGTAGGTTCTTTGCGATTTCTTTTTGAAAAAGAACCTTAAGACTTTAAGTTGCGGAGATTGTTATCTGTATGTTCGGAATGGAGAAGATATAGAATTTATCATCTATTTATTATCTATAGTCCCCTGGGTCAGTTGGTGTTTGTTACTGAGGTGACTGACAATCTGTATTCAGCCATTCTTTTACTTTCTGCCAATTAACTGCTAGGTATGCGCAGTCCATATGTCGATTATAATGCTATTTCAGGGATAAACAGCGAATTATATTTTAGTGGTCTCTAACGTATTAATGATATTGGCTGAGATGGATTTTCGTGCCAGTACAACTCTTGATCGTGAGATTGGAAGATAAAAAGGTGGCTCTTGACAATGTGTTTCACTGCACCTGTGGTTACAGCAGGTTAACGATTAGGTTGGTGTTCTACAGTGTTTCATATGAGTTTTCTATATAGTGTAGAGTAATCGTCTTATTGACAAGTCAGTCTCCTTAATTCTACATTCTAATTAGGTTTTCGAATGTTAAGCTACTAGTTAATTACAAATTACCGCAGGTACTGATAGCTGACTGCATCCATTGGAAGTTCCTTGTTGTAATGCAGTTGGCCTTTGGTCGTGTAGTGATTTTCCTGTTGATTAGAATCAAATATGACAATAGAATGCTGTATGATAATATAGAAGAAACGAGGATATTCGATTCGCGCAAATGTTTGTAAAGCAACACCAGAAATCACTGCATCCCTTCAGCTGAATTATCGATCATGCAAACTGTGATGTGCTAGTGTTCAATAAGTCGATTTCATGTAGGTAAGCCTATGAGTGACTGAAAGACCCCTTGTCGTTCGTGATTTAAGTTCGATGCTAACAATTTTCCCTGTCATTAGGACTATGAACTTAATATGCAGGGAGGTTACTTACTCGTCTCATAAGGTTGCTTTTTTCAGACTTCTTTTCAAGCCTTCTCAGCAGTACATACAACATGGAAATGTATGTAATAGGTTTATTCTGTATGGAAGCAAGTTCCCAGACAGAACTTTAAGTGATGTGACTCAAATCATGCTATCCCTATGTTTACTTCAAAACGGGATATGAGGAAAACGATAGCGTTATATTTCTAGTTGTTTCACTGATAGAAAGGACACATGGCACAAACGAGAGGTCCATACTTACAAAGTTTTGGTGGGTCAGACGGTATACACACCAAGGGCTTAGTTCCTATCCATTATAAGAGGAACTTAGGCAGAAGATTGCTCAACAGAGCACGAGAAATCTGTCCTGATAGTACAGTGGAGCATAGAGGAAAGACTGAAGGACATTTCATTTAAAAATTAGTACCCTGAGAGTTTTATCGACAAGTACACTAAAGAAATAGGTACCAATAAAGCTGTCCAAACAGTTTTAAAGGATGTCATTTAAAAGAGATGACATGCATTAGGAAACTTCGTCAAAGTACTAGACGAACCTATTACCGCAAAGGTTTTATTCATAAACACCGAACACTGGTTGCTGCAGCAATTTGGGGAAGACAGGTCACCAGGATTTTGTCAATTTGTGTGTGCTCGTGGAAGCAAATGCACAGATCATACGCGAAGGCGATTGTCTACTCTCATGATGAGGGCATTTGTCCAAGTGGCAAGAATAGCTGAAGTCAGTGCTTCAGAGGTTCATTAACAAAACATCTTGTAGACTGCATACATGAAATTAACGCAGTCAAGTCACTAACCATTGTCAACATACAAACAAAGATGCTTTCATGTTCTAGTCATCTCAGTTGATGTAGCTGCACAACAGATTAGTTCTTATCTAACACTCTATGCTTAACCTCAGTATCACTGACCCTGTGATAACTTGTAATCTGAGAGATAGGACGAAAACATCTCCGAACAAGGAAAGCCAGTTCCTGTACATGCCCGACTTCCAGTGGCCATGTCGTACAACCATAAAGAACTCCTACGCACTACACATCTTTGGTGGATAACCGGACGCCTAACTTCAATATTACTCACCCTACTATACCACCTATCACGGGAGATAGAACGCATACACCTACGACTAAAGACAGCTAGCCGTTTCGTAATCTTTACTCTCGATGGCCATGTCGCCATAGTGGTTGACAGAGCGATCGAAGGTTGGACATCACATCTATGCTAGAGATGAAGTAAGTTGGCAAATGCCACACTAGTCTTTTGAATGCATGCTGAGATTTCGACAGCAATCAACCCGCTGTGGCTGATGCAACTTCTCAAATGGGTGAGGTGGCCAACATGCTCAACCACCTCGCTCCCTATCTTTGAACTACAAACCGATTTCAGTCCTGCAGCATCATCTAACATTTGACCAAAGCGAGTCTCATCCCAAACATTCGAAGATTCCAGCTCTAGGTGTTCAGGAGACTTCGCATTTTATCAGTCTTCATAATGAAATCGAACCAAAATTGGAACAGTGAGCATCCGTGAAGGACACCACTCGTTGTCATCACTTCTGATGATAACTCTTCGTGAGTTAGTGCGATGTACTTTCTCAGCAATCCGTTCACGGCCAAACATTTTCATAGTACCACTCAGTTGACTTCCCCATTCAGATCAAGAGGTATGGTAATTGTAAGATGCCGGTTAATATACCTGTGTTCCAGAATCTGTCGAAGGGTGAAGGTATGATCAATACACCCTCTTCCTGATCTTAAGTCTGCCTGGTTTTTTCGGGTTTGTTTTCCTTGTGCGTTACTTATCCTACGTGTGATTATTGAGCCTATAACTTCGGATACTATATTAGCCAAGCTAATCCCTGTATGATTATCACAGGAAGACTTGTCTCCCTACTTGTAAGCGATTACAGGCGTCAAGAGATGCACCACACAAAAATAATAAAGCAATACTATATGAAGAAAATAGAAACAGAATGAATGAATGAGTTTATCCAGAAAGCGTGTAAGCATACTTGTCAACATCATTCACATTCATAATTTCATGTTGCTTTCAGGAAGAAAAAGAATTACAGCATGATCGCTAATAATTGCGATACTCAATCGTATCTGATAATGTCTCAAGTCACTGACTCAAATTATCTCTCGGACCAATCCACAGGACGATGATTTACCATCAGATGCTAACCCGACACTCATAGCCATCAACTCACGGCGCAGCGTCATGGGCGAAAGACCTCTCTCCTTTTTGGCCCAGTCGCAGAGCTAGAGTGCGGTATGGCACCCATTCGGATGACATTCGTAGCACATATCCAAGCCACCATAGCTAATATTTCATGATGATCACACCGTGTTCAAAAACAAGCTGCTGTATCTCAAAATTGCTGACGCCCTCGGGCGCAAGTAATTCTCCGGAGGCGATGACAACCGAATACGCCGTACATCCACAGCTCAGAGATCAGGTTTCGTAGGTGTGGAGCGAAACTGCGCGCATCAGATCATGGTATATCCGACGTTTAATAGCAGGCTGGTGTCTCCAGACATGACTGAAATTGACGTATGCCACAATCACTCTCACGGTTAAAAATTCATCCGTTGCACCTCCGACAGCACTGACATGATTATCTAGGTAACGAACCTGTCGACAACTTCACCCGCAAGGGTGGCTGCAGATACAGGCTGTTCACAACTTTGTAACAATACTTCACACTTAGATTGCACAAAGCGCCCTGAGAGCCAATTGTTTATTATTGTGATACAGCTGAGACACCGTCCCCTATAACCTTTGTTTTAATCTCTTCCGTACCTGAACTACTAAAAATTGGCATTTACATGATTGTTTCACTGAAGTTTATTTATTAGTCATATATCTTCCCATTTATATGTTATCACTGTATATAGAGTATTAACCTGAAGATTTTTATCGAAATTTGATGATATAGAAAATGTTAAAAGAGATAAGTAACACAATATGATCTGTTTATGGAGAGACAAAGGGGCATGATTGATCTGAAAGATCTAATATCCTCTGTCTACTTGTGCTACATCCACATACTTGTTTTGACTGGCAAACTTTAGTTTCGCTTTTGACACAGTTAAATTAATACTGTGAACAGTCTCAATCTACCGATGAAAGGAAATATTTGAAGTATCTTAGACTGATAGGAATGATACACAACCATCAATATCTAAGACCAAGTAACCCACTGAGTTGAGTAACAAATACAAAGCACATTGTTACCTTCGTATATTAAGTATTTGCATTATGTACAAAAAATTTTAAGCAGTACAGGATACACAAGCAACAACATAGTTATAAATACGTCGAATACGTCTTATTCGCCCGAGAAGCATAATATAAGTTGAAATTCAGTAAGCAGTTGGTGAGTGAATATTTTGATTGACATGTGGATGCCGTAATGGTACAGTTTGTGGCCATCTTTGCATTGGGCCTTTAGTATCTGCGGAGAAAAATATTGGAAAATTAGGAAAATATAACTCTACGTTAACTAAAAATTTGATGTACATTTTTAATAGCTTCAGTTGTTTTCTTTTTGGCTACGTGTCTATAAGAGGTGGAAGGGTAAAGCGAGGTACGAGGGTAAAAGCAAATCGAAAGCATACAGTACATTCGATGTGGATAGTGTGTGACAATAAGGACCAACAAATAACAACTCTTATTTACTCAGAATTCAAAACAGAGGCAATCATACTGCAACGCTCATTTTACTTTCAGTTTATTTCTTGTCTTTATATTGCAGTTTTGGTTCATAGATAATATTAACCGTGCTCAAAAATTCCCGTTTGAATAAGAATGTTTCTGAGAAATCTTGAATTCTACAACCAAAGGCACTTTGGAATGTGAGGGACATACGATCATCGTACGCTTCAGAAGCGTCCATATTACATTTTACCACTATCTGTAAGTACATTCACCATCTGATGAGCAGGCCCGTTTTGGAATGACGGGATTATGTAAGTTTGTCCAACTAATTCGTACCTTTACAACTTCATCAGCATGACATTTGGGATCTCTTTATTTAGGTTTCGCCTAAAATAGACGGATAACACAGTTTTATTGACTTAGTCGGTTGATAGTTGGTAATAGCTCGACACCTGAAGCCTGAAGTATGTGAGTTGAATTACGCTTATAAAATTGTTGACTTAAAACCAACTCCAGATTGACTGTAACTTTATTCTTCAGCATTCACATTCATTAAATTTGATTTTTAACTTTCTGTAAGCATTTTACTGCGTGCCTTAAGGAATTTGCAGTTTTAGGCATCATAATATTCTTGTCCTGGATAACTAAACAAAACAAACATATCTTCACCCTCCGACAGATTCTAGAACATAGGAATTCCTACCGGCGTCCAACAGTCATTATATTTCTTGACCTAAAGGCAGCATTCGACTCTGTCGACCGAGAAGTTCTCTGGAGATGCTTGGCTGTAAAGGGAACCCCGAGAAAATACATTGCACTGATTAAGGCACTCTACTCGTACTCATACAGCCAGGTGAGGGCTTACGGCGAGCTGTCATCTAAACTGGTGACGACCAGTGGTGTCCGTCAAGGATGCCCATTATCCCCTTTTCTATTCAACTTCATCATAATGTGTTAATGGACTTAACCCTAAGTGACTTCAGCGACTCAGGGATTGACTTGCTACCAGGGAATAATCTCGTTGACTCAGAATATGCAGACGATATAGTCCTTCTAGGCGAAGACGCTGACGAAATGCAGAGTCTTCTAAACACCTTGAGCCGCAATCTACGAATGTTTGGCATGCGATTCGCTCCCGCCAAATAATGTAAGATGATGTTGCAGGACTGGACTACACCGAATCCTAGATTAGAAATAGGAAGTGAATTGGTAGAGCGCGTTGACCGCTTCACTTATTTGGGAAGTACCATCAGCCAGTGCCAACGGGTTGATCTCTGACGAAATCTCAGCACGAATACAGGGGGCTCGTTTCGCATTTGCCAGTTTACGCCGTCTCTGGCGTAGACGTGATATCCGAGTGGCTGTCGACCAAAGGGCGGTGTACTGCTCATCAGTCCGCTCCGTCCTCCTTTATGGCTGTGAGACGTGGCCACTGAGAGTGGAAGACATGAAAAGATTAGCTGTCTTTGATCATAGGTGCCTGCGCTCTATTTCCCGTGTAAAGTGGCATAATAAGGTGAGCAACATTGAGGTTAGGCGTCGAGTTCTAGGTAAACAGGGTAAATCAATCGACGAAGTCGTGAAGTTACAAAGACTGAGATGGTTAGGACATGTATGCCAAGTCATCGCCTTCCTCGAGGAGCAATGTTAGCGGATATAGGGTCAGGCTGGTAAAAAGCTAGCGGCAGTCAAACAAAACTTGGCACCAGTCAATGAAATCCACAACAGTTTGTCTAAGCCACGTAGGAAGGTGTAGACTTCCAGGCTGGGGTCCTCGGGACGGTAAAAATCTATGGTTGGAAACAATTGGTGACATGGCTCCTTGTAACTTATGATTTCCAATGAAACTATATTGTTCTTCGTTATTACCCCTCCTTTGTCTCACACCTCTGCTTACTGTCTCTATTATGCTTTTCTTGTACTTTCTTCTCTTGCTTCGTGTGCTACACGGAGTGTGGCGACTTGAACTGCCGCACATTTGTGCAAAGTTCTATGTCGAAAGCAAACAGACAGACAGAGAGAAACAAAACACACTTTGAACTACCAGCGACGTTATGATAACTAACATTAGCAACAATAAAAAAGTTAACTCACTTATTTCAAGCTTACCTTCATACATTTCATTGCCAGATGGTGATCGCAAATCGTTCGTACCGGGATCACCACAATCATTTATTCTTTCCGATGAAGCACACTGGTTGAGCTGAGAACAAGCTTCGTATAAATGTTGATCAGAACTAGTATGAAGTTGATCATGTCCGTCGTATGCTCCAGAAGCGCTCATATTGCATACGTTACCACCACCAGTGGATGCACCATCTGAGGCACCAGCAGGATCATGTCGCAGTTCACAGCCGTAAATTGGAGGATTACTAAAATATTGGCAGTCAATGTATAACAAATAATGTTTGTAATGAGTTAGCTCACTATATATAAACTGAAAAGGTGGATTAACTCAAATCGCTGATGACAAGTAGACAAGCACACATGAATATTGTTAGAACTTATAGCACAGGAAGAAGCAAGTAAACATACTTTTATTCTCTGCCAATGATAGGCGAGACAATGGAAGTAAGAAATAGCACATATAATTACACGATACACACGATTAGCAGTATTGCTTATTGCTTACTTACAAACTTACCTATCGCAATTAAAACTAATCACTAGAATTCCATTTACGAAAAGGACTAAAAACTACGCAACAGTTCATTTAACAGTGGATAAAGTATGTATCATATAGATTAGTACTACGAAGTAATGGATATACTGAACAAAGAATACTCTTTTCCATAACTTCATCATCAGGCTCTACAGTTATATATACATTACAGTGAATGAATGAATTCGTGTTATAAACAACATCAACATAAAATAAGCTGAATGTCAGAAAAATTAGGAAAGACAATATTACAAATTCATGAATTTGTAGTCTCTACTGAAGGCCAGGGCAGTAGTAGGGGCTGGACTTGCTTCTTTTGAACACAGAGCACTGGCTGTTTGAGGCGAGTTGCAATAGCCTCTGCTGTTTGGAGCATGCAGTGCTTCGATGATTTGGGTAATTTACTAGGCACCCGATAGATTATAGAGAAGGATTCTTCCACTCTGGCTTTGTGGCCGGTTTGCACCAGATGGTCCAATATCGAACTGTTAGTGGTTTTCACTACACCTTTACTTAGCCTTAGTGAGGGATGTTCTGAAGCACGAAAATACCTTTTTCAAACAATACTCTACCTGGGAAAAATTCCTGTAAATATAATTATGAAAGGTATGACTACAATATATTGTGAAATAGAAGTACTAAAATTATGTCATTTACTTGTAGTTACTATTTCCAACCATATACATCCCGAAATCACAAAACTTATCGACTTGTAGACCACGCGTGGCTTTTAAATACGCCCAGGTGTCACATAACTGTCGTGAAAATTGTGTCTGAAGGACTGCAAAATGCTCTCTTTCTGCCTGTAACTGGTTTGTTAGGAAGTTACGTTGAGAATTTGTAGGGTTGGATTCATGTGTATAAATATTGAATTCATTACACCTGTCTGTCCGAGATAATCGCTCATGTGAAGGTGCTGTAGTCCAGAGGGGATCGACATTCCAAGTTGAAACTCCAACACTAGCAGCTCGACGAAAATGTTCATTGCAGTTGAAGCGTAACGATGATAATGCGAAGGTGGATTTGGGTGAACATCATTTGAATATTCAAAGCCTATAAGAGAGTTGTAATCACGTTAGTAAATAAAAATAACCCAATCTAATAAGCGATTTCTGTACATTATGGTTATTTAATACCCGTTAATCAAACGAAACAGGAATGTAAGAAAACTAATTGACTCAACACAACAGATTAAGACACAGAAAAGTGATTTGCAGAACTGAGAAGTGCGGACACAGATTATTTTAAAAAGACACCATTTTTGAACTACACACACACACACAACGAATCACATACCAAACACAAAATTTTGAACTCCCAAGTGACATAAAAACCTGGAGATAAAACAGAAAAATCTAAATTTAAATAAAATACGGAAACAAATAATCTATATATGACATTTTGTGAATAAGAGACATTTTAATACACAAAATATGCGAAAAGAATTATGATTATGGAGCTAAATAAGCTTAAAATCTTTCTTAAATACATACATGTAGCTCTTGGTCACATAGTCTTCGATTTGCTAGTCAGTTATTCAGGTTTAACTTCAAGATTCACTAAGTTTCGGATCTTAGTTATCAACAGAAGGTATTGAGTCAGCAGTAACAAGCAGAAAATAATAAAATATGTTAATACTAATAAGGTCAAAAAATTTACCTGGGTTAAGATCGTAATGACCAGGATGAACACTTGTAGAGCAAGGTATGTACTGAAGCGAAAAGCCTCGATTGGCTTGACGAGAGATTGGGTGGTTATTACTTAAACAAGTTTCCAGTGGAGACGCCAACCCATAGTTGCTTGGAAGATGAGACAACTGAACATGACTTGTCGAACGCTCCATCAGTGGAATATGCATTAAGTCCGGTAATCTTACGTTCTTTGGTTGAGACTGCTGTCGCCTCAAACCGCGATTTGGCTGTGATCCTTGAAGTGCTTGGCGCTGCGGATGTTGCCTACGCTGAGTGACAATAGGTGAAAGAATAGCAGCTAAAGATGAACTTGGATAGACATACTGCATTGAATCAATTGGATCATGAGTAGTATAAGGGACCTGACATTTTAACACAGAGTAAGTTGAGTGTTTCGGCAGGTTTTTTGTTGGAGCGGCATAGGGAACTTCGACTAAACAGGACTGAGTTGGAGAACACATATGACATACTGCTGAATGCGGATGTCGATTAGATCGAGCAGCATAGATCCAAGGATTGTGATTGAAATGTAGAGCTTCATTTGGTTCAATTCCAGAGTACGGATGAATGCTATCATTGTGAAGGGCAGGAAGACTACCAGGTGCACTCACAAATGGAGCATACGACCCATGTCGTTCTCCAAAAACAGACTGATCAACAGACCTGACTGGGACTTCACAAGCGAGGTAAGGGTCACCAGACCAAAGCGGTTTTATGGAGACTTCACAGGGGCATCCATGAGGACAAACTGATCCAGTATTGGTAGGTAAGTAAGGTGGATAAGGAAATACCTAAGTTTACAAAAGAGAAGGTCAAGCAGAGTAGAGATGCAAGTGATGAAAAGCCCACTATCATAACATATTAATATGAAGCACACATAAACTGAAATAAAAGCTAATTTGAGCTGATTGGATTGGTAGAGCTCTTTGGTTGACACTTCCATAACGCCTAATAAATCTCAGTGGGTAATTGTATCGGTAGTACATATATAGTGAATGTGTGTGAACAAACACTAAACCAACGCCTTTTTATACTGCAATGGACAGAAACCATGATAACTTAGACATTGTTTGTACATGTATATCGCTAACATATGCTAAAGAGAATAATGATTGCCTGTCATTTTAGATGTACTCATAACCCATCGAGAAGAGGGGTCAATAAAACGATCTGTTTACAGAAAGTATGTATACACACACACAAAATAACCATATATATTTGCGATTGTACAGTTATGAAAATGAATTCGCCGAAAAGAGACTCTTCGCTGAACTACTTGTCTTCTGTTTACAGAAAGTCCACAAAAATTTAACTTGTTAGAGGGTGTGAATGACACAAACTTTTGCTGTCACCGTAAGCATCACCAAAGATTGTACTTTTTGCTTAGAAATAATGTATTGAGTGTCACAAAGCATTAGTTTGACTCACTTTTTGATTAGAGTGATTCGCAGCAACGAAATGACTTCCGTTTGGGCAGGCTGAAAAACCAGTAGACTCGGATGGGCGGAGTGGCAGATGACAGAAATGATTCGTACGTCGACTGACTGTAATTCCTGACCGTTTGGCGTGCGGAGTTACAGGGACAGAAGCAGAGCCCGCAAACAGTCGTTGATCGGGAGAATAAGGACATATAAATGACCCAAGAGGGATGTTTGGATAAGCAGGATCCACACAGTTCACTTTGTTTTGATCTATTTGTGCGCCATCCCAAAGCTTTCCATGCTCGGTTGGATTTACCTCTGGTATTTTCACTGACGGATAAAAAGAATATTCATCAAAGTAACCGTCACTTCTAACATGATTACCAGTATCACCCGTGTTTTTATCACCATCTTCAACAACATTGGAAATAGACTTCTGATCATCATCTTCATCATCATCATCTTTATTATCTATTGTTTGACATATGGGTATGCCAACGTTTCTAATGTCCTCTTGATTTACTTTATTTGTAGAGCTGAATGCTACTTTGCAATTGTACTCATTAAGCGGGCGTTGCGAGGTATATGAATGAGGTGAATCGGCATCATACATATCATTTAGATGACTTTTTTTGGTATATTGCGATTTTCAGAAGAGTGGGGTTTTTGAACTCGCTGATGGTATCTTAAAGCCTCTTCCAATTGAGCACACCGAACTTCCAAAGCTGTTTTGGCTTCTAGAGCCTCGGCTTTCTCTGCACGCGCTTTTGCAAGACGTGCACGTTCAACCTATTTCAATGTAAATTTGATATGCAGCGGGAGTTAATTGAAAATAACCAAAGGGAAACAGCATTTACAAAAAATATTTTAATTGCACAAATTTCGAAAGTGAAAAGCGGTAGATAACTTACATCTCGTCTTGCTCTTTCTTCCCTTGCCTGAGCTCTCATTTGTTGAACTTCAATACTATCAGGTTGACGACGTCTCATAAACAGTGAGTGGTTACCAGCACACATAGACATAACTGTTTTAGCTTGATTGGGATCTGCCAACCAGACCTCCACAACACTGATTAACACAGTTGTTGAATTCAGCTGGGATGAATTCACTACAGTTTTGGAGGAAAACGGCGCAGTAATGTTATTTTCTACGGGCTGACCTTGAGGAGTACGAAGACAGTTTACGCTAGTGCCGGTTACTGTTAACTCATTAGCAGAGTATCGAGATTTGGCGGACAAACCAGGAATGCAACGTGAACCTAATTCAAAGACTAAACACACAAATATACTTGAGTTTGACTTAAAATACAAACATCAAACTCTGAAAAAAAGTCTTTAATAAGATTATCCTAGAATTCAGTTATATGCACAACTACTGCCGGACAATATAACAGTCTGTATTGAAGTCGGAATGTATTTATTGTGAACTAAGTTATTATTGCTTAAAACTAGTGAAGATAATCAGCATAAGCAACCTCGCCTAGTTTACTACTTGAATAGCCAAGGAAATGAGGAAATATTGAATGTGGACCTACGGACCGAGAAATTAATTCAATCGCTACAGAAACTTCAAAGCATAAAAGAACAACTTATTCTTCATCCTAACTGCGGAGAAGAAAGGAGGCGGACTGGTGAAAGCCTTCGAGAAGCCAGTCAGATGATGTGTCTTCTTTCGATGAAGGCAAAAATAAGCATGGGGACACGTAGTACACGCACGATATTCGAAGCTAGGAAGGCTGCTCAAATTGCCGGAGACATGAGAAGATATGGCACAGAAGTGCTAGGAATTTGTGAAAGTATATGGGATGAAAGTGAACTCTCCAAATTATTAACTGGATAGTCAACTATCTACTCTGATAACCCATATTACATCCACGAGCACATTGAGGGGCTATCGTGTCACCAACAGCAACCAAAGCTGTTAAGCAGTTGGGACCAATCTCCTCCAGGAAAATGATAGCAAGATTGAATCCAAAAGAAAGGAAGAACACTAGTTTGCCAGGAAAAACGCCTACGAGCTGACAACCGAAGACTTCTACAGACAAATTTTCAAATGGAAATGTCGAAATTCTAATGGGTGATATAATACCACACTGGGAGCAGACAATACAGGAAGGGAATCTCTCTCGGTGAAATAAATGAGAACTGATAACTATCCTCAGATTTCTGTGCTTTCAAGGCAGACAAGTAACAATGAACTCTGGCTGTTACTAAACCAACCAACAAGCTAACACACAAAAAGTATGCAGAAGAAAATGGAGATGGATTAGACATACACTGAGGAGACTGTTGAGTGAAATCACACAACAAGTCCTCGAGTGCAACCCGAATGGGGAAAGGTGAGTTGGACGTCCGAGTGTCGTATGAAGTAGATAGTGTGGGGAGTAAATGAATGTTTGTATGTACTCGTTGAGCCAATTTAAAAAAGACTTCAGAGAATACAGTGAAGTGGATATGCGCTGCTAAGGCCATGTTCCACTAGCAACCCAAGGGAATAAGTAATACAGTAACAATAGATCAGCGTAAGTGTAAAACTTGGCTAATGTGACAGTATGTAGTTTCATGTTAGTTTGTTTATTTAGCAGAAGAGAGTGAAACAGTATTATTTACTACCTGTATTAGATTAATGGAAACTAACTGGTCTCTCGTTTTCAGCTTCTTTGACAGTTCTGATGTGATACATTTATCGGAAAAGACGGCTGCAGAATGAATTTTAATTATAGATACCCTTAAATACGTTGTAATGCCCAATTCAATGACTACGAAAATATGTAATACTTAATTTCGATATTTCAAAGCTTACAGTAGTGATTAGAAATTAATTTTAGAGTGCTGCACACTATAATTATCATCTATCGAAAAAATATACGATCTCAGTATAACCAACCTTTTGCGCGACCTTTGAGACTTTTTGAGACACCAAACTGCTGCACAGGATCACAGGAATCAAACTTGGTATCAGCACGAGGAAATAAGACATTGATAGAATGATCAAGAACATTTGGAGAAATTGGTGGTATTGAAGGAACAAGACGGGCTGATATAGGAGTACTAGGCAAACTTGCTGCTGATGTACCACTCCCACCAGCACTGGAACCCACAGTCAGACCTACAAGGGCTTGTCCAGTGACGCTTATTAAGGGACTTCGACTTGGTTGGATTACTCTTGATGAATTAGCAGTCTGACCACTGGTTTCATTCAGCCCTGCAGGCAAAGAAGTTGTGGTTGTAGGTACACTATGGTTAGGCTTGCTTGTTCCTCGCCAAGTACTAGTCAGTTTTATGGTAAACTAAATGGGAAGGAAAATTAGCTGAATGACACTTATAAAAGAAAAGAAAACAAATAATTCTTTGTTTTGTACCTTGTCTCTTTAATATTCTTTATTATAGTTTTTTAATATTTTTTTTTTTTCAAAGAAGAAAAAACTTTATAAATTACAAACTGAAGATTCGCGAAGAAAAGTTTTGTCTCAGTTCATCTCACGAATTTCACTTAATCATGTTTTTGAGAATAAATGATCGAAAAAATAGGCTGAGAACTAAATCGATAGTTAAGTTATTAAAATAACCGAGAATACATCACGGTTTTGATACGCGAAGGACAACTGTGACCTGTCTAATTACATATTCAGTCTTTACATATTGAACTTGCAATACACAATGCTGAAAGCCTGCCCCACACACCACACCAGGGTTACAACATCTAGATGGCACTATATTAACGCTTAATATAAAAATTATGTAGCCCAAAATCTAATGTACATATCTACTGGAATGCATATTTGTTCTCTTTCTTACAGAAAGTTGCAACATTTGAATTGCTTGACTGGAATCTACCTTGTTAATTACAAAAATTTTGTTTTATGAAAATAAATTAATAACCTTCTTTATACCCTTCCCCATTTATAAACTAAAATACATTCCATTCAAAATGATTAATAATAATTCACAGCCAACGTTAAAAAGACATATTATGAAATGCACAGTGAATTATAGTAAAAAGGATTGCAAAAATCTACAGAATACATTATCTGTACTTTAGTATTACAGAATTATGAGATACATAAGGAGATTAATTATACACACAACTCATTTTCAGATGAGGCAGTACCATTTTAAAATGAATCATAATTTCGATACTGCAGTGCCATACTGCATCTAAGCAGTGGCGCTATCAGTAAATATATAGCTTTAGCAACAGCAACCTATGTAAATGATTTCCTGTTATAAAAAGGTATTTGACATCAGACATTAGCTGTTATCTTATTAACTCAATACTGACGCTGACTTAGCCATAAGTGACCAACGATTTAAATACCTCAGTGATCTCTTTTGCTTCAGACTCCTTAAGTAATTTTCCCTTTTGTAGTATATATATAAACGATTTAAAATGATTACTATTATTATTATTGTTCCCTTGAGTTCTTAGTGGAACATAGGGCTTCAACTGCACGTCTCCACTTGCCACTTCTGTCTTCTGCTGTACTTTTCACCTGCATCATGTTAGTTCATACTCTTTCAACTCCTCTTCACACGACCTCCTCCATGTCACCCTTGCACCGACGTTTCATTCGCCGCTTCCCTTTCGGGTTCCACTCGAGGGCTTGACGCGCGATGTCACCCAGCGGCCTCCTCAGCGAGTGTTCAATCCATCTTCACTTCTCCTGCATATTTGTTGGTTGGCGATTGGTTCTTGTTTTTTTTTCTTCCCATAGTTTCCAGTAGTTGGTGATTCTTTCCGGCCCGGCCATCTGATCTTCAGTATACATCCAGCGAAGAAAGTTGTTAATAAAGGTCTGCAACAGGATGTTGGAAATATTCTTTGTGACACGCCCGCCAAGTTGCTGATCCGTATAGAAGAACTGACTGACTTGACGTCTGTATTGAAAATCCTGCCGAATTTTGTTGTTGATGCTGATTGACGAAGATTTCCAGATTGGTTTCAGGTTGATGAATGTGTTTCTCGCCTTCCCGATTCTCGCTCGATTTGACATCCTCGTCCGCTCCTCCTGTAGTTGAGACAATGCTCCCTAGAAAAGTGAATGAAGTAACCTCTTTCAAATCCCTCCCGTTGACGGTGATTGGCGCTGGATGTTGCTTCTGTTGTTGTTGTTTTTGTTGGTTGGTTATTGTCATAACCTTCGTCTTGTCGATGTTCACCTGGAGTCCCGTCTTTGCTGCTTCTTCGACCAAAATGATTGCTATGTAAACATTAAAACATTAAGATTAGTTATAGTCTAATTTCTAATTTATGCAACTATTCTGGAGTACCTAACACTTTAGTGCCTAAGTATACAAAGCAAAGAAATTGTAAAATATTCAACACTCAGGAGAGAATGCACCTTGTGGAATTCTTATGAAACTAGCTTACTTTACGTTCACGATAAGATACGTTTTTAATCAAATTCCAAGGGAATGTGAATTGTGGCGGATCACGCTGACATTTTCCGTACAACTGCAACCCTGAAGCAGTGACACCGAGCCAAGCATTCGTTTGACACTTATTCTAGGAGGTGAGATTGAAGAAAGAAATAAAAAATATAAAACCCATGCACTCGTCTAAGTGTGATATCAGTTACTGATTCTGATCAGCTTATTGTTAAGTTGCATAAACAGCCGTCCTTACAGAGAAGGCACTATCTTTCCTTATTAAGCTTTTGATATGTGAACCACTGAATTTCTATCAAAAGGTGTCTGAAGGGCAGCGTCCTAGTTTTGCCACATGACTTTATTCCCTTAGAGTTCGTGAGTGCATGATGTTGAAGAATCTAAACTATGAAAAAGTAAAGATGACAAGATTTACGATGATGTTTAACTTCTAACGATCCGTAACTGAAATCAGTTCTTGAGAAAATCCATTTCCATTTCATCAAAGTCACATTCAGATAATTAACACGTCATAAATTAATATATCCAACCACTAAAGTGATCTGATACAGTCGTAAAATCACATTAGATTAAGTGCTAATTCAGCTAGACAGTAATCACAATACAAAGATATAATACGAATTTTGAACGAGTTTCCCACTAGATTACAGTTAAGAGCTACAGGAATAATCTTTTTGGAATATTCTTGTTGTTATAAAAAAGAATGCAGCCATGCAGCCAATATCAGGTGACACATTAAGAACAAATGTAAACCATTTCTATAGAGTAGAAAATCTGGGAAATATTCCGAATAATGATATGTTAACAAACAGGCGTATTCTAGTGTTGGCAAGAGATAGTTTTGTGAAATGACTTAATAAGTCTTAGTAATTATCTTTGAATTATTGAATAAAATAAATTGTTGTCCTTGGTATTAAATTGTTCACCCTAGACAAGTTGAATGCTTGATAAAGATGAAACCACTATGTTTTCACTACTTCAGTGTATTCAATATTAATCTTTATCACCTAAAATATCACAAGTATATCAATAAAAACAACAAAAATCCTAAGCGAGGTGTATTAGTGCTTCGATATATGTTGTCGAACCTGAAATCGACATATTCTGGGCATAAAAGAATAAGTGATAAATAAATATAACCATACTTAAATTTGCATCGTAAATACTATTTGACTGAGTTTCACACCATGCCAATTATTATTATTCCCTTGGGTTCCGAGTGGAACATAGGGCTTAAACAACACATTTACACTTTGTTCTATTTTCTGCCGTCCTCTTCATCTGGACCCACGGCTACCGATAATCTCTCAACTTCTCCTCACACGATCTCCCGCATGTCATCCTGGGACGATCCACTCGTCGCTTCCTACTCGAGCGATGGCCCGCATTGCGCGCGATGTCATTCGACAGCCTCCGCAACGCATGTTCGATGCATCTCCATTTTCTTACACATATTTGTTGAGTGATCGGCTCTTGATTAGTTTGTTTCCAGAGTTTCTTGTTACTAATTCTTTCTGGCCAATTGATCTTCAGTATGGAGCGTCGGTGGCATAGCGATTAGGACGCTCACGCATGGCGTTCGATCCCCGACCGACGCACTCCTTTACCTCGCTAAGCCAGAAATCATGCTGGTAAAGAGGAAAGGTTGGGCATGAGGCTAGCAACAGAAACTTCAAGTCACTAGCTTGAAGCCCTATGTTCACTTGGAACGTGAAGGACAAAAAATGGAGCGAAGACAGCCGTTGACAAATTTGTAACTTGTTGGAAATCCTTTCCGTGACACGTAGTGCAAGTTCCTGACCCGTATACAAGAATACCAATTAAATACTACGAATTTTCTAAGTGGTCGATATTTAATTTTTAATTCAACGACGAATACAACAACATAGCCATTCAAAAGTGCTAAGCAAGCTTACCGTGTTGTGCAAGATAGTAAACTCGTTTTGAGTAAAATTACGTGTTAAATTTGACATTCGTGGGCATTTCATTCGTACACACTGAAATAAATATGACAGTACATCATTAACTTTATCTTGACATTAGACAATGAGAGCGAAATGCAATTTATGATACTGCAAGGCTGAAATATTCAATTACCCAATGACTACTTTTAACTTATCAGGATAAAACTTCACATGAATAGCCGAAGTGTCTAGTCCTTTTTACATAAACAGGTAAATGTCAGCATGCATATAGCAAAAAAAGCAATACTAAGGCGTTGTTGAACAAGTGTAGCGATATCCCAGCAGATAGCAGAATTGTAAACCGATTACGGTCAGTTGATAGCTCAATATCAACGACGTCATTTTGCACAAAGTTGGTGGACCTCAAGTCACAAGGGCACAGTGTTAGATCATACAAATGGGAGTAGTGTGATTGTTCGCGGTGAGAAAGAGGGTATTTTAGTTGCACAGCTTCTAACTTCGATTACTGCTGTGTTTTTGTAGAAGTCTCAAGAAGGGATGCGAATAATTCCTACAAATGTTAACTGGAGAAGGCAGGCGTTACCATACTCTGCCTGTAAGAGTGATGTGATTTATTGTTCAAATGCTACAGTTTTATGTCCTCGAGTTGAGCATAATTCATCCACAACGGTGTCGATAGATACTGTCTGCCGAAGTGGAGATTTTCATTTAGCGAGTTTCTTCAGCATTTGCATTGGTCATCCAGGCTTACAGCATAAATATCCACTATACGATGGATTTGACTGCTTGCTATCTGCAAGGTGCGGAACTTCGGTGGAATGCATTTATAACAATATTGTAGCCGGACGTGAAAAATCAGTGTATATTACTGGAAAGGGCCTCGAGATATATGGAAGCTAACAGATAGAAGGGAGAGGAAAATGACATTTACTATTCTGTGGATTGTTCAGAAAAGTGCTCGTTTTCATACGAAACGAGTTGTTTAATCGGACTGGAATACAAAACAAATCAACTGTTAACTATACACTGAGGGTAAAGTCCGCAATATTACATTGATATAACGCTTTTGGTTACAGGACCTGCACTGGAAATCAGTCCAAATCTTATACAGTTATGAAAATACTTTATGGACAAAGAGACTTACAACAATGGGGAAGAAATCCACTCCAAAAAGATGGTGTATCTGCGCCACTTTAAGATACTGAAGTTCCGCCTTGTCCCTAGAAATTATTTTGTATATTAATAAAAAAGTGAAATCAACAAACCGATTCATTCCTTTGTGGGATTTGTAGTATTCTTTAAACTTTTGAGTTACACCTTGCGTTGACTGAACCTGTGTCCAGAGTTGAGCTGGAATCAATCTAATAATGCGACGTGGCAAGGAGGTCAACTCTTCTGTGTCACTAAGCTCATCTTCACAAACATCACCATATTCTGCCTATAAAGAAAAACATCTGCTCTTAGTCTGATCACTTTTGCAGAATGATGCAACCCGAAGGTACCTGGAAGATTTTAGACGGTTATTAAAGAAAGCCCTTATGAAAATATGGATAGTAAAATGCGCTGACAATCAACACTCTCTTATAGTTTATTTATACTGCCAACCCATTGTTGTATACTAAGGTTCACAGTTCACAAACAATCTATGTTCTGCAGAAGAGTATTTTTGTATTAAATTAGGCTAAACGTTTTTTTATGTCATTCATGCAATACTTTTGAAAACTAAATTCTAGATGACTAGAACTGTATACATAAAATACGACGAAATTTCTTAAGCATCACTATAATTTGGAAGGAACATTTACATCTATATGAAGTCCTTTTTATAAAATCCTTAAATTTTCAAGCACAGATGGGAAAAATTGAAGGAGAAAGTGCATGCAACGACTATAAAAATCTGAAAAACCCATAAGCGTACAAATGTAAACATTATTAAGGTACATTTTCTTTTTAGCTTTGAAAACCTAAGAGTTAACCTTATTTCACTTTATACACCTAAAACACTTTCCGCTACTTCACTACTCACAAATGTTGAACATACCTGAGACGCCAGTGAAGCAAGTAGAATAGCCACGTCCAGTGAGGGACAAAGATCGCCTAAATAAAAATTGATATAATGATATAACTCATCTACATATCATACAATTATTTATCGTACAGTTTAATTAAATGTATGCAAATCTTGAACAGTTTTGTTTACGAATGCACTAGCAATTTTGTACATACCTAAAAATGAAACATAATCAAGAAAATGAAGTAAAACCGTGTTAAACAGGTGTCATTTTATCGGTTCACACTCTAATGAACCAAAGATATTGGGAATAGGAAACACACAAATTGAAAAGGTAAAAATATATATGAATTTTAACGGAATCTACTGAGGTAAGACCTTTCGACAGCGATTATTCATAATTTCGTCTAAATAAGTGACAATGAGCCGTGAACTCTTGCAGATTTCTGTTCACAGTTGATACTATTAAGAACCAGTGTTTGGTTTATGTTTAGATAAAGTGTGCTGAGTGGAGTGTGGGATACGCATATGGAGGATATTCTCCTATAGGGAAAAACCACAGATGTACATTTTAGTAGCAGCAATGAAAATGGATATCCTTAAAGAAAATTTCAGATAGTTCGTCATAAGCCTCAATGAGACTGAAACTGATCAATCGTCGTAAGTCCATCGATGTGACAAATTCGCAGATATTCAGAATAGATGGGTTTTATTGTTTACTTCAGCTATAACAGTCATTGTCAAGCAACAATGGGCATGCTTGTGTTTCTGCAACTTGTGATAAATATATATTTGACACATCTATGATTAAACGTGAAAGATGTGGTTTTCCCAGGCTGACGATATCTGAGTTCCAGTTTTCTATCAGATGTGGATGTATGTCACAGTGCCATTAGTTTATACAATTCATCATTGATGTTAGACAAGGTCACCAACTTTCTTAGCTATCGGAGTAATAAGTAAGGAAGATGAGTTAATCAGATAAGGGCTGGGTCCGATTCCTAACCTTCTAAATGTTACACTAATTAACCTACTCTGACAGTTATTACTTAAACTCATTGCAGGTAGTAATTTAGGTTGTTTTTGTTTTAGTGCATAGTTTGGTACAAAGCATACCCTCCCACAATTTCTTTTGTGGGTTTCTAAAGCAAATTATATAATTTCTCAGTCACTGCACGATGAGAATCGTTTCATTTCCCATTGATCAGTGAATAATTTCATTCTTAAAAGTATTGCAGAGATGTGACCCCATGGTTTGAGCATCTCATCCCTTTCAACAACGGCTTATTGCAATAAGGATTCATCCGTATCCGTCTCTCGCTTCATCTTAGGAGCCGCCAAGTAAGACATTATTCCTTCTTGTGACTGAAGACGCTACCGACTAGAAGGAGGTTATAATCGTAACAAACCGTATGCAGTCGTTGTTATCAATCTATACTGATCTCGCAGATATGCGTGAAATCGGCTTTACGGATTATTGCCGTTTGCGAACCCCAACATCAAGTTCAACTATTAGGTAGTGGTCAGTTGAAACAGTCATTTGTTATGAAAATATTCCCCATTTTACTTGTCGAACGCCAACAGAATTTAAGAAGCAAGTCGAAAAATAGGCACGAGTGCTTATCGGCTTTCTGTTTAACTTGTTACTAGGATGTAACCAATTAAAAATTACCCTCTATGTTTCACGTCAAACGACTAAGAAGGCGTAACTTTCGCAAAAACCTAATAAGTAAGGGTCCGTGAGGTCAGTAAGTCTCATACAATTCCGGCTAGAATCGAAGTATTTATGAATAGTTTAAATTTGTGTTCATTCACAGAATCAAGCAAACAATAATCATGGAATAGATCGTTACACGGTGAACGATTTTAAAAGGATCCAAGAAACACTAAAAGTGCAGTTTTTGTTTAGTTTCATATATAAAATACACTAAAACTTACCAAAACAATTTCCATTCATATTAGATTCGCTTCTATTCAAAATCGTGGCTTTAACGCTTAAATAGAATAGACGACGAGTTGTAGCCTGTATCAGTTCCTGTTCAACATCTTCAGGGAAGAATTTTGTATGGAAAAAAAAGCAGAGAGGTTTAGAGACGTCTTCTGGCTTCTGAGAAATAATCTAGAAATTGATAATTAGGGGGATAATGGTGAATTACTTTTTTGTCCAGCTTTAACCAATGAGAAAGTCGCATTCTTCCATTAGGGAAGAAACTGTAAAATTGTAGTCCAAAATACCACGTCTCCCGTAGTCCGATTGTGCTACAAACTAGGTCGAAGAGATATTTTCCTGTACTTTTTGGCTGTGAAGATATAATCCGATACAATAAATTAAACATACTGATATATTAAATTCCAATTCCGACTCATGTAGAGTAACTCGGATTTTTAGATACTTAGAATTTGAATTATTCCACTTCATTGATAAGTAAAACCAGTAGACAGAAAATGTTTAAATATCAGCTGTCTTCACTCTCATAACGATGGCCACAATTTGTTGTAAGTAGATCTGTAGAGAGAAAAATGGTACACTTCATTATAACCAGATATAAAATTGTAAGTTAACACTTCTGGTAAGTGGTTTCGAAAAGTGTGACACGAAACTGAATTACTGGAGTTTAAATGCATCATGCAACCAAGTTAGAAAGTGTAAATATTTGTTTGCGATTGGAATAAATGCAGGCAGTTTGTAATGATAATGGCTAGACGCACTCATTTACCATGACGCATGGAAACAGATCGCCAATTATGTCAGAAATGTGAAAATAACCATGAGTGACAGAAACCTTCAGACTTGTTACTCGTTACTTGAAACGGAGTGCCTGAATAAGCTCGTCGGAGCCATAAAACACATTTCTTCTCTAGGAAGCAAACCTATTCGTGTGAAGACTAATAAAAATGATAAAAATAATCCCACTAAAATAGACAATTTATTTGAAACTACAATTAAATGTAAAGGTTGAATAAATAGGACACTTTTATGAGAAGTTACTGAAAACATTATTTCAAGTTTGAGGAATGTTACTCGAAGTTCAATCCATCATAAGAAGTGTGATTATTGGAAGAAGTCGGCATGTTTATGAATAGGATCCGACTTATAATTTAGTTGTAACAAAAAATGGTGAGGATTTCTTACAATGTGTATAGTTGGCCAGTATACAGTCTAACTTCATTATGAAGCTTACTACGTCGCGTTTCATGAAGAAACTGAGGAAAAGGTCTTGCTAACTAAAACTCTAGCATCTCAAACTTCGAATATATGTCGGATTTGGGACATGCACCCAAGAACTAAGTGTAATTACTCACCTAACTGTGCATCTGGTCAATATACCGAATATATAATATTCATCCTCCAACTATCAGATTGTTTTGCTAGTTTTCGTGAAGTTAGTGGCATGGGGATAGCACTGAGCAACAGAGCAGAAAACTTAATGTTTTATTGGATCTCTTAAGACTACCTGAAAGTATCCGTGGGAGTAAGGAAATGTTGCGAGATCCATCAATCCTTTCTCGTGACCACCACTTAGGTATCCATTAGCTATAGTCAAAAGGAAGAAAAGGTCAAGTTTTATGCAAATCCAATTTAATACTTGGAGAGAAGTGTCCAGGTAGTCATTCTAGCAGTTACAGCTCAATAAGGGGACCATGTCGGCCCGTAGAATATATTCTGGATAGCTACGGTGACCGATGTCGAGAATCTGACAACAGTCATATACAAACAAAAAGAGACACCACGTCTTCTGGTGACCATACACATCAAGCCAGTAATGAGCATAAATGTACTCCCTAGCTACATTTTAAATATAGAAGATTCGGTGGAAGTCAGCTGTAAACAAAAGCTATGTCTTCACCCTTCTACAGATATATTTACCCATATCTAGCACTTACTATATTTCTTGACCTAAAGACGTACTATTAGGCATATACTTCGTTGGATTTCATAACGCCACCAATTCTTTTTAAGCAACAGACCGATTAAAGCTATATTTAGCTCATAATAGCTCACCTTGTTGATACGGGACATCAAGTGGACCCCAGAAGGCCGTTTAAAGTTACTTTTCACATTTTATCTAACCTTTCTCATGCACTACGATCCTGACTTTTGCATACAGTGGATGCGGTCGGAATTTATCTGCGTACAGCCCCTTTCTTTGCTGTGGCAGTCAACATAATAAGTAGAGTATTGCCAAATATTTTTCCTTATCTTTGTAACTACCATTTGGCATTGTTAATATTTTATCGTGATCAACACTTTACGTAACTTAGTTGGCCTTTACATATCTTGGGATCAATATGTAATTCAACTGTCTATTCTTCTTAATCCTACAAATATTAAGTGTCGTTTTTGAACTGTAATTTCATTGATCTTAACATATATATATATATATATATATATATATATATATATAATTGTAGAGCCAGAAGAGGAAACAATTGAAAAGGATATTCTTCGCTCAACTTATTTCTAAATGTATGAATGAATATTTTCGCTATATTGAAATCTTTAGTTACATCATCGCGGTGTACCCTGAACTGTCCTATTTAGACGGTTGCAGATGCGCCGTACCGACGACAACCAACCAACCTTGATCCAAGGCTTCCTGTCGATTGCCTCCAATCATCTAATAACTAACCTTGTTTATATAACTATTGTTACTTCCGTTAATTCTCAAAATTGATAAAACTTTCTTGACCAGTATATAACTAGTACAAAATTTAGATGTAAAAGTATACATTAGTGTAGAACTATTAGTGAGGGACTAATTGGAAAGTAATACATTTCTCCACTCGATTTATTGCTTTTTTCCAAACTATGTAAACTATGTGCGTCGGTGGCACAGTGGTTAGGACTCTCGCCGACCATGCATATGGTCTGAGGATCGATCCCCTGCTGACATGCACCTGATATCTATGGTCGGCCTGCAAAATTTGGGCTACCGATATCCATGCTGAAAATTCCATACTTGTACCAAAAATAGGTGTGGAATCAAGCTGTAATCAAAAATAATAATAAAAAAAATAAATAGGATGAAGTGATTTCCGGTAAACCTGCTTGAAAGAAGTCACACACTTACAAGCGAGAACCATGACAATCACAAAATACCGGGCAGATAACATAGCTGGCCCCTTAATCTAATGAGTTCGCGAGATAGCTGATTACACATCACCACAAATATGGAAGACTATGCACTGATCACACACTGCCATAAAGTCCTACGATGAATCAAAACAAATTAATGTAACCGACTGAAATTTATTTGAAAACTACACATTCATATCCGGTGGAAACTATTTATTTTTGCGACTATATCGAATCTTATTTGTTGAACAACTAATGAAGTGCAGTACTGAAGAGAAAATCCACAATTCTACCTTTCACAGTCCGGGAAATAACGATAAACTTTTTGATAGTATTTGATATACCTTATGCTTCACTATATTGTTTTCTCCCTTTAGTAGTTAATCTTCTGAAAACCCTTTGACCCTACTACCTTATTACACTCTATTATGAGTGTAGTGACTGAATATTTTCAGAGAGAAATACATAATTCTTCCCATATGTAATTACAATATATACTCTTAAAATAAAGCTGTTGGAAAGACAGTTGTATAATATTGGCATGTCACTGTTCTACGTTTCATCGCGTGTACGTCATCATCAATTACCTAAAAATTACGCCATTTATTTTTTAATCAACACAACTTTGCTGATATAATTACACTGATGTATGAGTCATGATAATGCAAATATATAGACCCATAAACTGGTTTACTTATCGATGAATCACCCTGTAATTAAAAAGCTGTATATACATAGCCAATCACAAGAAGTTTGGGAGTTATCAATGATTTAAATGATCCTTTTTCAAAACAAAAGGGACTTATTCATCCATAGTTACCAAACTACAATGCTTTTCCTACCTAAGGACAGGCAGATTCGGTCAATGAAACAATTCGAATGGCACCTCACCAAATTTATAATTCACTGAATAATTTTGTCATCAATAAATCTAGAAAACCAGCTTTACTATAATATGACTTTCGCTTAAAATAGCCTCCTATCCTCATAACTTTATTTCTAACCACGACTTTTACAACAGTAACTTGATGCGTAAATAATATCCGGGTTCCTACCGCATAGTGGGATTTAAGTGGCACGTCGCCAGTGTCCCACACAAAATCCTACCAGTCTCTGTTCTGTGTAGATTCTTGAACCATCTTATCATTCTATGAAACGCAAACACTTTCAGGGTATATCCATTTAACAATGATACTGTCGAATACTTTTCATCTTTTGTTGGTTACTAATTTTGCATCCACTGCATACAGTGTTAACTAGATTTCCAATGGAAATTGACATTTTACCTGAGTTTTCCATGGAAACGTTGAACAATTGAATGGTATTCACACATTTGTTTCACTTATTATAACTTTCATCCCACGATGAAATGACTTAGAACAGTGAGACAAAAGCAGCTTTCTAAATAAACAAACTGAAGTAAGCAATACAAAGAGTTTAAACTGCTAACGACAGTTAACTAGTTAAAATCACTCACAATAAAAAGATTGAAATACAAACTTAAGTACTCTGGAATTCCGTTATTTTCAGTTTATGTACAAAATTGCATATACCCATAGATCAATATTAACAATCTAATAGTGTACAAAAGCACCAAACACGTAAGTATACATTATACAAAGAGAAACAACCAGTAACTATCACGACTACATATAAGTGACCTTATTTACTTCTTTTCTACTGAGTGAAACCCTCTGCCTTTCAGTAAAACATGTCCAGCTGTTACAGACCGAGGTTACACTAGTGCTGAATCGAAGCAAGCGAATTCTGAACTAACGTTTTTCTCTATAGTGAACGGATTCTGATATGACTTGAAATTGGGGTAGGAACAGCAGTTCTGCTTTCTTTGAGCCGTACTCACAGTATTTAAATGCTTATTGGTATTTTTCAGCGTCACTACAGTCCTCTCAGCCCTGATTATCACTGACTGGCATTAATTAGACACTTATGGGATTAATTAATGCAAGTACAATCTTTATACAATATCCGCATTACTTCAGTTTGAACACGCAAAACATTCACCTAGCATCAGACCCCATTAATAAAAAAGATAATTACTGTTAATGAACTTTTCCTAGAATATCCTGTGTACATATGTACATAATTGTAGGTTCGGAAAAGGAAATTATCGAAAAGAATATTCTTTGGTCAAATTTTCTTTTCTCTTCTAAGCGTCTGAATGTTTTCCTTAAATTTAGAATTAGATTAGCATTATAGTTAGTTTGAGAAACGCAGGTAATAAATTAAGATACTGACTAGAACTGCTTACATTTTACGCAAAAAGTTTTCTGCCGAAAACACAGACAAAATAAGGTCGATTTATATTTAAAAACTATCACAAATAAAAGTATATTACGGAATTAAACAAATTTATTGCAGTACCTCCTAAAAATATATTATGTTCTTTCACTAGAGTTGAGAAATCCGCTATTTATTACTAATGACAAGTGAACTGACCAGAAGCTACTTTACAAAGTCAAAATGTGCCAAGTAATACTTCGGTAGCTTTACAGACATGCACCGTATCCAGATGTAATGGGCGCCAAAACTACCATATCCACTTTCAGTTCCCGTTTATGTGACTGAAATTGTCTGTCACGTCCAAGGTCATTGGTGGAGTAAGGCCCTGTAAAGGTCATTTTCGTCCATGCTTGTCTCCCATATTGGGTTGCAGTTCCTTAACCGTTCGTTTACACACTGGTTTTTACGCTAATCCTGCAGTTATTTACAACTTATCTTGATGCACATTGTTCACAAATGTTGCATTTCACCGCATTTTTGCTTCCGTTTTTGTTGAAATTAGTTATTTTGTTTGTTTCAGGAGATTTTACCACCAGGTCAGTTCATCCACTCCACTGTTATGTTTTCATCCATTGCTGTGATGTGTGGTTGCAAAATTTGATTGTTTTTCAGCCATTAGTGAGTTAGTAATGTGCAGAAGTTTTGGAATTCATGCACATGAACATGTTTGGGTAGCCAAAGCCAGCTCATACTGCATGCAACAAACTACGAATGAATCTGGGGAAGTCTGCACGATCAGTTGTAGCGGCCGAAAAACATATCAAATATTGAAAATAAAGAATTCAGAGAAAATCGTGGTTTTTATATGCGATTGAACAAGGACACAACATTGGCCCGCGCTCAACGGATGAATCTTCTTGCCTCTCCTCAGCTGCTCGCTTATCACAACTGCCGACCAACTCTGCCTCGTGCCGATTGACAAATCTACATCAGGATCAAATCTGCTTTTCTCTACGTAAGTACTCTCCAGCGGTCGGCATCTCTAGTGTGTAGTTGAGGATTTGCATACTTAAGGAAAGGACAATTTCATCCCTATCATTTTGTACGTTTATATTTTGAGTATTGTGTGACTATTATAGTTTTTCATATAGCTTTATTTTTTGTGTATACCAACTTAAGTTAACTGAGTAACTTATATGTACATACAAAAAGTATTTATTTTGCCCTTTTCAATTGCGCGTACGCACATACTTAGTCGCTTGTTTCACTACACAATGTAGATATTAGCAAGGTTTTCGAAGAACATATAATCCTGGACAATTCAGGACCTGGATTGAAGTTTAAAAAGCTTTGAAGCTCTTGGAGAAGATGAGTATACCATCAATGTGTCTTTTTCAGTTAAAAACCAGATATATTGTGAGAGAATCTAAATTAAACAAGGATGAAACACGTGAAGGAAGAATCTTTTTATGTTCTTCTGGATACAAAACGAAATCCAAAGTCAATTGGAAACCTCTAAAAGGTAAATGTTACCTATGGTTGTTGATGCCTAATGTACTAGAATAAAAATACATGAACTAAGACTCTCTGTAGTAGAGCCAGTGTTAACAGCCATTTGATATGTCGCAAAACGATTTAAAAAGCAGATAACATACGATGATCTGGTGAGTGGACGAACTATCTTAGTTAAAGGTAAGATTAAATTAACAAGAATAACGTTTCAGATTTTAGTCTACAATCGGTGGTTGTTTTAAAGTTACAACAAGCTGAGAAGCTGATTATTATTCGATGTGAAAACATTTGCTGAATGCAAATTGTTTGTTTCAGCTCTCATAAGGAAATTTTTATTCTTCAGATGTTCCCCCGTGGCTATGAATACGGGTATCCATGGTTTTTAAGAAAACTTTAAATAAATTTTATTTGAACCAATGGTCTTCTTTTTTGGCAAAACGCCTGTCGGTACGATTAAACGATTAGTTGGCAAAGTAGGATGTTCTGTGATTGGGAATCGTAGTCGTTGTGTTTCAGATTAATATCGCGTGTCTAACTGTTATAACCCCATGGATTTAGCTTTTTACTCGGCACACTACCACATCTAGAACTCACAGGCACACTGTCCTCGTTAAATTTACTATTTAAGTGATTGAAAATAGTGATTCACTTGAGGTGGTGGGATAGATAACCCGAAAACTTTCGTGAAGATTAAGATATACTTACTTTGTTCCAATAAGAGACTGTCTTTTTACCAAGAAAGTTCTCAGGATATTCACTAGGCTTTATTATTCAAAGATAGCGTTAAGGTTCTCACTAAGGTAGTAGTTACAGGAGATTACCTTCCGCAGAATCTATTTTAAGGTAGCTACGTAGATTTAGATAATGCGCCATAGGACTAACTGGCATATGTTAACTGCGTCTAAATACATATTTAGCGTATGTACACACATATTAACGTAGTCATCACATACGAGTTACTTTTATAAATAATGAATGTACCGTACAAGCGTTCACTTTGATTTGCATACCTATCTCAAACCTTATGCCCACGTGTATATGAAAGCCTAATACGCCCTTCATACAAGAAAGTCAGAAGTCGAGAATAAGTCTGGTCACTTGACAAGAGTAAACATTGGACACCTAAGTTAGACGACTTCGAACCAACCAATCAGATCGCTCAGGATCAAAAATGGATGGTGTTCACAATCTTCGTTACAAGCTTCACCCGGATTTGATTTTTGGGTTCTGTATGGAAAATGAGTTTACAGAAAGGACTAAAACCTGCATACGTGGAGGTACAATGACTACAGAAGTATTGCCTATCTGTTGATGCTTATGCATTCCGATACAATCGCTGTGGTAGCAAAAAGTCCGTAGGAGTTCGTTAGTGATGAAACATGGTGATATTTTAGGTGCTTTCTTCACAAAATAGAAACTTTGCTTTCGTTAAACTTTTAGTATATGCCATAATTGACTGCTGAGACCACCAGTATCAGATGAAGTTGCAAAAAGTGAAAATACTGTAATGTCAACAGCGCAGCGGTATCAGTACTGTCGTGATATTTCGTCACAAAAGCTCAATGGTATATTTTATGTAATAGTAGGAGTTGGTGATATCGTTCATACTGAGGAAGCGGTAATAATAATAATATATATATATTTCACATAAATTAAGCATTTACATGATTCACATACCGTTTGTACAGGCATGATCATATTTGACAAGTGCAGTCTGAAATTGATCACTTTTATGAAATTAAAATTTGGAAAATGAATAGAAAACTTTACAAGAATAGAATATAAGGTTTTGGTTTAATTCTAAATTATGATATTTAATGCATTCATAGTGAGTCAGATTCATGCGGGAATTATGAAATTTTTCGTTAATGGAATGTAAGAAGAGAGGTGATGTACATGTGCTGGAGTAAGCCACACTGGATCCAGACCGTTATTTTTATCATTTTATCAATCAATAAGAGTTGAAAGTTCATAAAAATCCACATCAGATGGTAAGTACAGCATTATATTGGTATTAGCAGATAGAAGGGACAAATTGGTCGCAAAGTTAACTTTTCGATGTTGAACAGAATTCAGAATGGAATTTGTTCCGTTGTTCATCGTAAGTGCTAACAATATTCTGGATACCGCTCAAGTAATACAAATGTAGAAAGCAGGATTACTGTTCATTAGCAGTGCTTCAATGCAATACCTTCGAGAAGTGAAGAAAACAGAAGCAGCCAGCAGATAATGATAATTTAAGTAAACAATATGCGATAACCGCAGTGTTTATTCTCCTTTTTTATTACTAGGAATTTCTAGTCATTGAGTTTTATAGCGTTACATACTAACGGTTAGTTTAAGTTTATAGTAGTAAACAACAACTGAAGCATAGAATAACAATAAAAAAAGTAAAAATTAGGGCGAAACGAATTATGGTTTTCACTCTTATATAGGGTAATGTTGGGAATAGTAACTGAAGAAGTGAAATCCAAATGCCAAAGTACATAAGTTATTTAAAGAAAAGAGGAAGTATGGTGATACTGATTTATGCTGTTGTTCTGATTTATACAGTTAGATGTCCTCCTGAAGTAGAGAAATCGTACCATGAGCCATATCTTCAAAGAGTTTGTACGCAAGCTGTGACATACAGGCAGCATTTATTTTTTATTTTATTTATTAATATTTTTTTTGAAGTACCTTTAAAACGAAGTGAATCGTGCTAGGAGGAGAGCAATTTGTTTTTGGTTACTGGTGGAGAACAACACAAATCCTCCTAAATGGCTTTAGAACGCATCCCGAAGAGAAGTGCTGATGTTTTAATATTAATTATACACCGAAATGATCTCTTATGCACTACCATTGACACAGGTGAGTGATGAGGTTATTTGCAAATATCATAACCGGGTTATGTTCGTCACAGAATCAAACATTCTTCTGCATTGGTGCATCATATAACTGGAAGCCGTACAAATTCTGCTGAGCGATTTCGGGCTCATCTGAAAACAATGTATCAGAATGTTAAATGATCTAGGAAATGATGTAGCATATAGTCATAAAAATGAGTTCCTGTATCGACATATGTTTGATATGACTGCAGCCATTATTATGACAAACTAGGACATGATTTTGCAGCATATGTGAGGCATGTCACCTGTATAACTCATTTTTATTAAATGTGTTGTCAGTGTCCAGGTCTAACTACACCGGTCTTCACGCTGTCCTTGGAAGACTTTCAGGAACTGTGCGTAATAGCCAACGCGACAACCACAACACAAATTGGAGACCCAAGAAACGATTACTCTTGCAAAAATACATAGCAACCATTAGGTCATTGTACAAAAGTCTAGGAATAAATGTCACAACATTAAATCAAAACAATACTTCTGATAGTTTTTCTATCTTCTAAGGAACAGCGAATGTAAGCCATGTCTCATAAACCGTTAATGCCCAGCTCTTGCTACGCTCGGGCTCACGCTGTTCCTTGAAGTTTTTCAGAAACGCTTAGTAATAACGGACGAAAAAACCAAAACACCAATCGTTGACTTGAGTATTCTGTATTGTTACACCAACATATAAATCAAGTATGACTAAGGTCTGTGAACAAATATTACAATAATAAATCACAAGATTACTTCTGACGGTTTACTGCTGACTTCTTTCTGAACAGCGACCGATGAGACGATGACTGTCGTATTGATGCCTCCGCGAAAATTGGGGAAGTTGATTTTGAGCAAACAACAATGAATTGATCGTTCAATCTTCAAATACATTGACACTCCCCACCGAAAAAAGGGATCCATCCCTTTTTTCTTCACGACCAATACACGTTGACTTGGATGCCATTGCGAGAACCTGGGTCACATGGACAGAGCTGAA